TTTTCTTTGTTTACACTGGATGAATTGTTAATGAGTTTTAGAATTGATCTCTTTGATCTGGAATGAGTTTTCATCTTCCACGGACACTTTTCTCTCTTTCGATCCTGTCCAGTTCGATTCCGCGCAAACGAAAATCAAATTTTGAAGGCTGTGCGTTGGTCATTAGCCATTAAGTAGAGTTCCGTCCGGGAACGTGCACCAGGTGATACAGTAAAAAGCCGCATGTAAGAACCTAGTGGTTTAAGAACCTGCTGCATGGCAGAAATTTGCCATTTTAATAAACATATATCAACCTGTTTAGCCAAGCGAAATCAAGCAGGTTCTTATTTATGTGCGTTGGTTACAGACAAATTATGATAAACATTTCAACCTAGGAGTATGACTTTGGGATTGTAAATTTACATTACATGTACAAGAAAAATTTAATACATAATATGGTTGTGAGTAAATACTGTATACTCAAGGAGCAAACGGTTTGAAACCCAAGTTTATTTATTTTTTTGGTAATCAACTCATATATCACCTTCATAGAAATTAAGAATCTAATTAAAAACCTACTTAGTCTAAATTGCTAATAACCACCCCAAAATCAGGAGCCATAATCGGGGACCCGATTATGGCTCCTGCCCAAAATGCAAGAACCCATTTTGCCAGACTTCAAAAAATGTAAGTTATTACATACGGGTTTTTACTGTATTTCTTCGAAAGAAATTCCACAATGGAATATTGCTGGTTTTCACTCTCATGCCATCAAAAAGAATTATGGTAACCAAGATTTAGATCTGTGTGGTTAAGCGTTTTTCCCCGGAGGGGAGAGTACTCCCTTGTATGGGCTATATAGGTATGTGCGGCCCCAAAGCGTATGGTTTTTTCAGCTGTTTTTGTCATAAATAAGGTATCAATTTTAGCTGATTTTAGCCATTTTGGTCATAAATAGGGTATAGGTTTTGCTCTCTAGCCTTGATATGGGTATGTTTTTAAGAAGAAGCCACTTTTTCGTCATTGTCGAAAAGAAAATCAACAAAAGCCTTTCACATATTATGTTTACGGTAAAACAACATTGGTCTGAACTAGGGAACTAATTGTAACGCAGGTCTGAAACAGGGTTTTGAATTAAGGGTCAGGTCATAAATAGCGTTTCGAATTTACGGTCAGGTCATAACTAGAGTTGGAAATATCGCAGATTTTGGTCATAAATAGGGTAAGGGTTTTGAAAAGTGGGCCGCACACCCCCGCCCAATTTTTCCAGGTGTACCCCCCGGGAGGGAGGGGGGGTTTCAGGGTATGAAAATCATCTCGCACAGCCATTTTCATGCGTCGCAACACAAAGGCGTGCTTTGTAAGCAGCGAAGAACCCTGCCGGCCTAAAACATTTAAAACGTCAAGTTCTTAGTGGCCGGGTCTCGTTTCTGATTAATCTAGACCCTCAGAACGATAGGAAATTTTTGTGTATTTCAGAATATGACAACGTCACATGAAAACCGGCAATATTCAGTTTCTACTAAATGGAAAGCCCCAACGCGTCAGTTCTTAGTCTCTTTTATTACTACACTTTGTAAAAATGGTTAGCCACAAAACTTCCCGATTCTATGAGTTCTAGAATTACTTCAAGGTTTCAAGCAAGAAATAAACTTACCGTGAATCCGAGAATGTATTCGCTAAACTTCTCAACGAAACCAAAAGAAGCAAGGTGAGCTGTGAACCGGTCAAGAGATCAGACTTAATTCGACTGCAAAACAAATACAAATTATACAGATTGAATGTACCCAACAGGGTTCGAACTGGATGCAAGACAACTTTCTGTTTCAGTATAGTGTTCATGTTTTCAAAAATGTTATCAAGTCCTATGACCTTCAAAACCCATCGATCAAGTTACTTTAATTGTTAGTCGATTGAATCAATGAATTCATTGTCACTTTCCTGTTTTTCTGTAATATAGACGGGCTTTGAAAAGCTATGATTTTCAAATTAGGGGACAGCTATTCTTCCACGTTTGTTGTAATTTCTCACTCTTATTTCCTTTTCCCAAAGGTTATGATGCTACTTCAATTTTGTCCTTTTCATAAACTGTTTTTCACGATTTGGTCAGTTTCATTCATGCTTCCGCCTTTTCTAAACCGGGCTTGGCCAATGTATGGGAGTGATTCTTTGTGATATAGAATTTGCCATTACAGCTTTGGTTGATATTTTACTTGTCTCTTGATGACAAGGAGAAATCTTAATTCATGGTATCAGTCTCAACTGGTAGACAAGCTACCGGCACCACAAGAAGTCTAGCTGTTGCATGTACTTACCAAGTCAAATGTTGTGCTCGCTTCACCTTTGCTGCTTGCTTCGCAATTCAGCAGAAAACAAAAATACTCTTGAGC